CGTTCGAGCAGGTTCGGACAGATTTGTCTAAGCTGGGCAACGTCGAAGCGTGTTGCACGTTTGCATCGATGACCCACTGTTACTACTGAAAAATGTATGTCGGCCGTCAGTCTTGGTGGAAGAATACATTGTCTCGCGAAAGGAATGATGCCTTGGGCAAACGTGACACGTACGGTGAACTTGACTTGACAGCGTTGGCGTGACTGCCGCGTGTTGGGTGTGGACACACGTTGACTGAAGATAAACTAACAAGGGTGAACTATGTCTAGAATTACCTTGCAATAAGGGAGAGCCTTGGGGGCCAAATGCACGAGCATCCTCGATCTATAAATACATTGTCAACTTGGCTTTTAAAAGACACGTAAATGATTTTCTAAACGCCATCGGATTCGTCGGCGGAGATTCGTTCTTGATGTGAATTTCGACAAAATTTTTTGACAACGAAATTCTTAGATATTTAATTTTGAAAATGGTATTATTAAAGAATCAATATTTTTATTTTTTTGTAATTATTTAACAATTGTATCGCTCAAAAGTGTTAAATAATTCATATGTGGAAGTATGTATATAATATATAAATTTTAAGTGTAAAGCTTTTATAATTTGATATAAGCTTTCAATGTGTCTCTCTCTTTCTCTACTAATATAACATTTGACTTAATTACAAATTTATTCGTACCTGATGGAAGCCAAGATAACTCTCTATGCTGTGGGTAGCGAAAAACACTTCCCCGTCGCAAGTTAATATTAGCAGGAACCCGTTTAGTGCCTGGAACAAAAAATTGATTTAATTAAATTTATAAAATAAATGTGTATGAAAGAAACTGTTGTATTAATAAAAATAGAAATTAATTAATTTCGGGTAAAACACGTAATATAATATAACGTATACACTCCACACTCTTCTATTATATTGTAAAAATTATATTGTTATTTTATTATATTGATATATAATAATCGATGGTGGCGGAATTGAACCATCTGTCAATCGTCAGTCGACTAAAGAATGTAAAATTGCCGGACTTGAACATAATCGAATAGAGACTGCTCCGTTTGCATCGAGTCGAAGCTGAAGAGGCTAATTCGTGGCGCGGATAAGTTAAGGGCACTACAAAATACAGGTTTAGACGTTGTTAGACGTACGTGTGAGTTCACCCCGTGCGAATAGAGCGAGGGCACGAGAACGAAAGGGTATGTTGCCTTTTCGAAACTGAAGGCTGGCGTTTTGCGGCGACGGCGACGGCGGCGGCGGCGGCGGCATCGGTCGGAAACGTTTCGGAAAGTTTTCTCATTTGTCTGCAGACTCGATACCGGCAAATACCAAACGAGCTTGCACAACTCGAGTGTTCACCTCGAAGCCCAAAATACCTGTTATTCTCGAGACTTTCTCACGAGAAGGAAATATACCTCCATGACGTCCAAAAGTAATATTGTAAAGCTGAGAGAAAAAGATCGGCTAATGATAGATACAATAAACATAAGGAGAAAAAAAATATGGATAATAGCAAGTGAAAAGTACAGATAACAAGAGCTGTTATTGAAAACTTGAAAAAAATTAAAAATGTGAAAAAGTATCTTTAAATTTATATTACATTTCGCGTTGTAGATTATAAATTTTTCAGTTGTTGTAAAACGCAATTAAGAGAAAATATCGAGTAAATAATTCATTTAATAATTATAAAATCCAATTATTGTTACAGTAATAATAACAAAACTTTTTGAAAAAAAAAAAAAAAAATATAAACCTTGAGCGAATGAATCCTGAAAACAAAGACTGATATACAAATAAAAATAATTCAGGTAAATCGCGTAATCCGACGTGGCACATACGATTAAGCTTTCCGAAATACAGAGGCAATTTCGAGCCGCCCCACGCGAGAATAGTGCGGCGGCACGAAAACGGAAGGGTGCGTTGCCTTTCGGAAAGCGGAGGGCGGCGAGCGTTGTTTCTGCCGGGAATACGCTGAAAACACCCCGGGAAAGTTTTCCCATTTATCGGCGGTCCCGATACCGGCAAATACCAAACGAGCCCTCGCGCAAACGAAGCCGAATGCGGCGCATCGAAGCCGAAAATATCCGTCCCAGTTTTAGCAGTCTTCGGCCCGCGCCCTACACTACTCGGAAGCGGAGTAGGAAACCATTTAAAGCCTCGTCCGCTCTCCACCGTTTCTGCGAGCTAAATGTGTATTGTTTTGTTTTATTTCGCGGTGGCGGTACCAGGTACGCCAGACCGCGGAACTTATTGTTCTGAAATATGGTGAGCTCGCCAAAACCGGCCGTAGAAGGAAGGCGTACACCGATCCCGGGATACGCAAGCTTGCTAATTTAATCACCCCGGTGGATTTTTTATTTCAACAAAATTTTAATTGGACATGCAATTATGATGATATAACGTGTAACGTTGAAGTACGCCTCGAGGTAAATTGCCCCCCCCCCCCCTCTCCGTCGCCCGATGACATTTCGCTGAGACAAAGCTCAACTCCAAATTAATTTAAAAAATAGTTGGACGAATAATTTATAGCTTTAAAATATCTTACAAATAATAAATTTCCGTTTTTATTAATCTTAGCTTTTCACTTCACTATTTTGATATGTAAAAGGTATTATATAAATTTAATTGAGTGTGCAATTATAATGATACATGTGTAATGTTAAAGTATATACGAGGTAAATAGTTGCCTCCCACGATTTTTTTAGTCCTCTAACATATCTTCAGATTTTCCCGCCAACACGATGCATATTCGCAAAGTTGCGATAATTGTGAATATTTTACAGCTTCTTAATCCATAGCTTTCGATAAGAAACTCTCGCAAGGAACAATCATAAGCGAACTTCATACTAGCCTATTATTTCCAGGCTATTATAGAATAAAGTTTGTTTTAAAAGCGGAACATTATATAATTATCACAATAATTACGCGGAGTAATTCAAGAGTCAATTGCGATCTCAAAGTTATAATGTATTTTTTTTAATTGATTTGGGTCATATAGATAGATTTTAAATAAGTTTTTTTCAAATAAAACACATTTGCAAATCTTGATCATCGACAAAATGATATGGAAATATTCAATTCAAGATAAAGCAAACTTATAATTTCTTTGTTTAATGATGTCGATGAAGCTACTAGTTTATAGCAACTTTGTTTTTTTTTTTTTTTATTTATATGATTCAGAAAATATAATTTAAATGTATTTTTAGATATCAATATATATAAAAAAAATTTTATTGGAAAGAAGGAGAGAGAGAGAGAGACTTTCTTTGCCTCGTTATATAACTTATTCGCACATCGAAAGTATACAGTCCTTTGCACCCCTTATGATTAAATATGTCACTGTGTCAAACTCTCGGTTTCATTTTCCGGCCACGAAAACAAGGCGCCCCGATTCCGCCTCGTGATAGCGTGGCATACAAAATGGCACGCGTTTCCGTGCGATCGCATGCGCGGATGCTGCGTTTCGATTGGTTAATCCGCAGGGTGGGCTCCTGCGTTGCGTCAATACGGATAAACGCGAAGGGTGAGCTTCGACCCTCTCGCTTCACCACCCCACGCTGTACCATTCCGCGTACGGACACGAGCTATAATAGGATTTTCTCCCGTATGCTTCCCCTTTTTCCCGTCCCTTCGAAATGGCCGACATAGCCATTCCGCGGAAGGCATCATCCCGCGAGACTCGTTTATCGTTGCTACTATAATTGTATTGTTTGGGGAAGTAATCGAGTTTTCTCGATCGACCGGCGATGCCTTCTATAGTCACGACTATTGCTTCGTTGAGATCGTGTTTCGCATTACGATAAAACAGAAACAACTCAATTTTTGATTGAAATCATCTCGGAAATAATTTAGAATAGTCTTTAGATTAATGTATCGTCGGAATTTAAAATGGTTAAATTAGGCGAGTTTAATCAGCGCGCATCAATTTCACGACGATTATATGGTAATGTATGTTGATTGAAACCGAGCTCGCGAGAAGCGCTGTCCAGTTTCTTGAACTCTGGAATGCGATTGCTCGTCCAGCCGTCGATTCCGCAATCTGCATATCGGCATATCCGATCGTGCTCCGGGGCTCGCGTCCGTGCCCGTGACTCTCGCTCGCATGAGGGAAGAAAATGGAAAGATTTCGTGCGTGAAGTATTATTGGCGACCCGCTAATGCGAGAGAGTCAAGGTGAGGATGAAGGGATATTAGAAGTTCACGCTTGGACGGAACACGCGAGTCGCGAGTGGCACGCGACTGATTCGCCGTGCGGCTCACGCGAGAAATAGAAAACCGTGTTTGTCTTTTTCGTTCGCTCCTCCCATCGGCTTCCTTCTTTCCCCTCTGCTTCTTCACGGGGAGAGAAACGCGCTTCCGCGATACGCAACCGCAATGCTGAATTTAATATCTAATTTGACGGAGTCGCGTCACCGCGTCGTTCTAGAAATTCATATAACTCGATGTGGAAAATCGAACGAATAAAATAATATTGCATTCCATATCGTATAATATTCAACGAGACTAGAAGAAGAAATTAAAGTGATTAAATTTGTCGTGGAAGAGGATTTAATTAAAGGCGAGAGCCTTTGCTCTTATTTATGAGCGTAAATATTTGAGATTTGTAAGTTACACTATCCACGTGCTAGGATTAAGGATACACGTTATACGTGATATTATTTTTCTATTTGTTTTTAGCATGGCATTCGCATATTGCGAATCGTATTAATTTTCTGGGCAGGAAAAATGCAGGACACTGGCTCACAGTGGCTGAACACGCCACGCGATATCGTGAAAGTGTAAAATTTACAGGGCCATGCATTTTAATTCAACACCGTAGAATCGAACGCGTGTTTCTAATCAGCTGTTGAGTCCACAAAGTATTATAGAATGAAATTCACGTGACACACGAGGTCGTTCACGCGCGCCCGGGGAAGAGAAGTACGCGCGCGTGCGAGAGAAGAGAGGAGCGAGAGAAGTCGTTCGCTCGTTTAGAGATCAATAAGGACGTCGAAGATAAGCAGCCACCGTTGAATGACGAGCTGAGCGTTAACGCGTTCGTGCCGGAGCGGATTTTCATGGCTTTTCATTTCCATACGCAACAACGGGTCATACGGCTCGCTGCTTCGCGCTCGTTGCATGCGCCATTATCATTATAATCGCGCCGTCTTACTCTGCTCGGTTAGCCGATTAAGAGAAACCGCTGATTAAGAGAAAATCCGAATTAGCCTGGTTTTCTGATTATTCCCCTTCAACCCCTCCTCCCTCCCCCCGTCTCTCTTTCTCTCCCCTCCTCGCTTGGTTTTATCTTGGTTTAGGCTGGCTCGCTCCATCCCGTTATCGGGCGACTAATTGCGTCGCCGGCGGGCACGCGACCAAGTTGACGACGAAACTGGATCAGCGCGCTAATGCCGATCCGCCGTGGAATTTCGCCGACGTTGTCAGCCGCGCTTAGCAATAATTCCGATAAAATGTAGATCACAGTGGCCGTGTCCACAGAACTATTACCATTTCGCTCGGTTCAAGGAAATTAACTGGTACTCGCAGTGAGTGACAAAGCTCACAGTTATACCCATACCAATATTCATTTTTAACTAAAAGTCAATCGAGTTTTGTTTAACGGTGCGGGCAGCTCGCGACATTTTATTCATTGAAAATTTTCATTTCATTCATTTGAAAATTTAGCTTTTCTAACCTTCAAAAATTTTTCGAATCTTTGATACCAGCGCATTGTCCAGAGAGAGACGTTTAGATACTCGCCTCGTGCGTACAAGTACTGGAAAAACATATTTTCGAAA